ACCCACACACTGAGACACTAACCCACACACTGAGACATCAACCCACACACTGAGACACTAACCCACACACTGAGACACTAACCCACACACTGAGACATCAACCCACACACTGAGACACAACCACCCACACACTGACACACTAACCCACACACTGAGACACACGCTAAATTTTTACACACCGACAACAGTAGAACCAACACAGTGCCACGGCCAAGCAACAAGAAAACGCATCCACACGCCGTGAAACCGCAATCCAGCGACAATCACAGCGTGACAGAAGACACGACGCCGAGACAGAGAGAGAGGGAGAGGGAGATGGAGAGGGAGAGGAGAGGAGAGGAGAGCGGAGGAGAGGAGAGGGAGAGGAGAGGGAGGGAAGAGGGAGGGAAGAGGGAAGGGAGAGGGAGAGGGAGAGCGGAGCAGGGAGAGAGGAGAGAGGAGAGAGGGGAGAGAGGAGGAGGAGATAGCGAGAGAGAGAGAAGAGAGAGGAAGAGAGAGAGAGGAGAAGGGGGTGAAGAGAGAGAAACAGAGGGAATGAGGAGGGAGAGAGAGGGATGAGAGAAGAGAGAGAGGGGGAGGTGGGGAGAGAGAGCAGAGAGAGAGAGCGAGAGAGAGACAGAGAGTGAGAGAGAAAGAGTAAGAGAGAAAGAGTGAGAGAGAAGAGTAAGAGAGAAGATTAGAGGAGGTTGCGAGAACAGAGACAGACAATGGGGCTGTGGGGGAGGGGGGCAGAGAGAGAGAGAGAGAGACGAGAGAGGGGCAGAGAGAGAGAGAGAGAGAGAGAGAGAGAGAGAGCAGAGATGTTAGCCAGAAAAAATCGCTAACGAACGCGACCACAGACGGCGACGGCAGCCATACACGCGCCGCGCTCACACACTCGCATCCTTACCAAGCAGTTCCTCAGCTGTCCGGTACTTTGTCGGTTCCTTGGCACCTGCGGGGACAACAACAGCCAAGCGACATTAAAAGCGCGCCTACACACATACATGCTGCAGGGGCAACGTGCCATCACACGCACACACACACACTCACTCATGCAGCAGCGGCAAGGGTCAGCCCACGCACTATCCTACACGCTGCGAATGCAGTGAAAGCGCCAGGGGAACGAACACACACGCGCACGTATATATATACAGGAGGAATAGATAGAGACTGCACCATGCCTACAGGGTCACACGTTTAATTACAGATGGAGAGGTGCAGACTCTCATGCTACCCAGGCCACCCACTGTAAGTATACATTACAGGAGGATAAGATGGGCAGACTGCCACCATGTGCTAACAGGTACAGCGTGACTAGTACAGTTTACGATGAGAGATAGTATGTGCGGGAGACGTGCCACCATGCCTAGCAGTGTCCACACGTTATACACATTACCAGCGAGGTTATTGCGATGAGCGAGGACGTGCCATCCATGTAAGGTTACACAGTATATAAGTAGCGGGAGGATCAGATGGAGACGCTCCACCCATGGCCATACAGCGCAACGTATATCCACTATACAGGAAGGTATCAGATGGGAGGACTGCCACCATGCTATAGGCTAGGGATAATGATACATACAGGAGGATAATATGGTAGACTGTCCACCATTTGCTACAGGTACACGTATATACATACAGGAGGGATAGATGGAGACTGCACCATGCTACAGGTACACGTATATACATACAGGAGGGATAGATGGAGACTGCACCATGCTACAGGTACACGTACTTGATACAACAGGCAGGAGATAGATGTGAGGACCGGTGCACCGATGCCCTACAGGCGGTACACGAAGCAAGCAGTGGCAGGCACTAAGCTACGCGACACAGTAGGGAGAGATAGATGCACTTCGCACCCTATACCCCGTACTAACAGCATCAGATACCATTATATCCGACACACACACATGACACAGGGATAGAAAGACATCATTCTATCCTACATCCACACACATGACACAGGGATAGAAAGACATCATTCTATCCTACATCCACACACATGACACAGGGATAGAAAGACATCATTCTATCCTAATACATGCCACACAACATGACTACATGGAGAAAGGGGAAAGAGGGGAAAATAGCGAAAGACATCATTCGTATCCTATCATCCCCACACATGACATAGGGGAGTAAAGACATCATTCTATCCTACATCCAACACATACTAACTAATGGGATATGAAAAGAACATGTCAATTCTACTATGCATCCACAGCACAGCGTATTGATAACCGGACCAGCCACCAAACCACCCCCACCTCTACTGTACGTGCATGTAAGGTAGCAGGTAGTGGGTGTGTCTATAAATTGCTACTGCGACACCACGCAGGGTTAGGCGTATCCATACATACTACCTGTGCTTGCACCTTACACACACGCTGCACAGAGTGCTTCCATGTCAACAACAACACTACCTGTCAGCATCAAATAGAGAGTGGAGAGTTCTCACTCATGTTATCAGGCGCTTACTAATTTTCCCGCATCTGCTTCTGCCCATCCTTACAACGTATTGAGCTCAAAGGATTTCCCGCATGCGTCGATGCGTGGGATGGCGAAGTGGCATCGGCACGTACGCGTTCCGAAATAAGCTACGAATTTCCCCTCATTGTAATCCCACGCTCGTGCACGACGCAGCGAGATTTATTGCTGTTGCTGCTGCTAACAAGGATGCATGTGAAGAGATGAGAGGGTCTATAATAAGCATTCAGGTATGACATCATCCGTGCAAACAGGTAAAACCCCCAGGTGTGCCGGCGCACTCACATCCGTACACATGGTTCACACAGAACTGAAAAATGTTTCAAGGACTTTTTCAGATGGACATTTTATCAAGAATTCTTAAGGGACATTTTATCGGAAATGTCATGACAGCAGAACAAAACATATCCTGATTAATCTTAATTAACCCGCATTCTAAATCACTTTCACCTCCAAAACTATACCTGGGATCAACATTAATAACCCTTCTTCAAAACACATCACCTCTACAACATACCTTGACTTTAAGCTTGACGATTTACTGACTTACTGTAATTTGTGATCATACATTTAACCTGTCTATCGTGTCTAGCAGCTTTTTAAGCTCATATTTAATGCAATTTTTATTGAGGTTTGCTACATTATTGATGGTACGAAAATTTCTTTTTATTACACTCTACAGGCAAGGATTCTTTCTAACAGACATTCTTAATGAAATTGAAGGACTTCTCAAGGACTCCCTCAAATCAAGGACGTTTTTCAAGGACTGTGGTGCGAACTGTCATGGTAAGCAGATTTCACCACATGCTGCGTGATACGCTATGTCACAGATGACAAAAGCCCCTCATGGGGAGACTGCAAACTGTATCTGAGATATAAGACAGCTTTCTATGTCATCATGCTGTTGATTTAACGTACGTGCACGCTCACAGACGACTTAATAAATTTCATATAGTCAACTATCCCCAAACACATTTATCCATGCACAATCTCACGCAAGGGGGCATCAACTAAGTTTATCGTGCACAGATCTCCAACCGGGGGCAATCCACTAGTTTATTCTGTGCGCACCCTAATCGAGGGGGCATCTCACTAGTTTACTGTGCGGCTACTTCCTGAAACAAACAAGGGGCACGCACTAGTTACCGTGCGCAGCACGCCTAATCGAGGGGGCATCACTAGTTACCGGGTCGCACCCTAACGAGGGGGCATCCACTAGTTTCTTGCGCACCTATTACGAGGGGGCCAATCCATCTAGTTACCGTGCGCCACCGTCCAGAACGAGGGGGCATCACTAGTTACTCTTTGTGGCGCGACAGACCTCCGTTACGAGGGCAATCCACTAGTTACCGTTGGCGCGACCCTAACTGAGGGGGCAAGGCGCGGGTGCGCGACTAGTTTCTGGGTGCACACGCCTAACGAGGCGGGCATCAACTAGTTACCGTGCGCACTCCCTAATCGGGGGCATTCCACGTAGTTTACCATGCACACCCCTGACTAGGGGCATGGCCACTAGTTACCGTGCGCACCCTAAGCGGAGGGGGCTCCACTTCTAGTTACCGTGCGCACACCTTAACGAGGGGGTTCATCAAACTATGTTAACCAGTTGGCGCTACCCTAAGAGGGGGTCATCCACTCTAGTTACTCGTTGCGCTTACTGTCCTATAGAGTGGGGCATCCACTATGTTACTCTGTTGCGCGAAGCCGAGACGAGGGCATGGAACTAGTTACCGTGGTGCAACACCCTAAACGAGGGGCATCGCACTAGTTTACCGTGCGGGCACTGCCTAAGAGGGTGCATCCACTCGTTACCGTGCACACCCTATAATCGATGGGGTGCAGTCCACTAAATAACTGTGTGTGAGAGGATCCGTGAATCAAGTGAGTCAATCGCAATGTTATTGGGCCGTTGAGCGTGAGGCGATGCCTCGGGTGATCTGCATGAAGCCATGCATANAGGGGGCATCAACTAGTTACTGTGCGCACCCTAACGAAGGGGCATCCACTAGTTATCGTGCGCACCCTAACGAGGGGGCATCCACTAGTTACCGTGCGCACCCTAACGAGGGGGCATCAACTAGTTACCGTGCACACCCTAACGAGGGGGCATCCACTAGTTACCGTGCGCACCCTAACGAGGGGGCATCCACTAATAACTGTGTGTGAGAGGGATCCGGTGAACAAGTGAGCATGCATGTTAGGCGTTGAGCGTGAGCGATGCTCGGGTGATCTGCATGAGGCGATCATACGTACGTGGCAGCGTTAGCTTGGCATCTACAAACTACAAACTTCCCATCGCACATGTACACATATACATATATACATACACATACATATATATGTATATATATATACATATATATATGTGTGTGTGTGTGTGTGTGTGTGTGTGTGTGTGCGCACGTGCGTGCGTGCGTGTGAGTGAGAGAGACATGCCTTACCACGCACCAGCGCCACCTACAACTGAAGAACTGTTACTTGTCCGCCGCGCGTGCGTCCACACACCAGCTAGAGCATCCTGACCCCACCCCCTGGCTCCCCTCCCTCCCACCAATGCTACCCCTTCCACTCTGCCGGATTTACCATTTGCCATTTTGCCATGCAGTTAGCTAAGGCTCACACCATCTCCTCCTCCTCTCTCCTACTTACGCTACCCCTTCCTCCCTGCCAAATTTACACCCTGTTAGCTTAGGCTCTCCCATCCTGTCGCCCCCCTCCTCCTACCAATGCTATCCCTTACACTCTACACACAAATGTACACCCCGCTAGCTCAGGCTCATCCCCTCCCTCAAGCCCCTCCCTCTACCCCCTCCCTCCCACTCGCCCGCCATGACACAAGCGAACACACACCCATGCCTCCCCACGACCCTCCCCCGCACCTCCGTCACCGTGGCAACGCGCGAGAGCTAGGCCCTACCGAGCAGCTGTTCCGCTGTCTTGTGCTTGGGCGTGGCGGCTGCAACGACGGCTGCTGCGGCGGCGGGGGCGGGGGTGGCGGCGGCGGCACCGCGGCGGCGGCGGCAACGCTGGGGGCGGAGGCGTGGTGGCCGTCGTTGTCGGCCGTGCGTGCGGTGAGCGGCATCTGGTCTAGCATCTCCAGCTGTCTCTGCTGCTCAGCCGTCAGCTGTATAGGCTCATCGATGTCAAAGTCAGACGCCGTGTCCGCCTGCAAACACAGATACAGACATTATACGCACGCATGTTCCGCATACGCCTGTAACAACATACAAACAAGCAAGAGAGAGCTCACTCACTCACAAACACATCAGAGATCACATCACTCGCGCGACTATAAATGAACGAACGCACACACGGACACGCACACACAAACACGCACACACGGACACGTACACACGGACACGCACACACACACACGGACACGCACACACAGACACGCACACACGGACACGCACACACAAACACGAACCCATGCATGCACACACACGTTGCATCCTCCCACCGTCACACATGCGTGCGTGTCAGCACCAGCACCTACCCCAGCTTCCCGCGCCGACTGCAGCAATCCCGACGGCTGCTCGCTTGTTTTCGCCGCGCTCGCCGTCTCGGCGCCGCTCGGCAACACGGCGCCCTCTGCTGGCAGTTCCTGTGATTGCACGGCAGCGGCGGCCGGTGGCGCGGCGTCCGCGACGGACACATGCGGCGGCGGCTTGCTGTCTGCCTCCGGCAGTGGCCGCGGCGCGGCGGCGTCTCTGCTGAGGGCCCGGCACCTGTGTGGAAGGGCCGTGTCGTCATCATCGTCGTCGTCGTCGGGGGCGTTGTCGCCGGGCGATGACTCGGCAGACGTGGTGGACTGCAGCAGCTGCTTGAGCAGCACGTTCTGGCTTCCTGATTCCCCGTCCGCAGCCTCCGCCTCGCATCCAACACCTACCACACAACACACAGCCAGACGCACGAGTTACGGTCTATTCACTATTACTATTATCCTGCTATAATAACAATATAATACTACTACACTATAATAACAATATAATACTACTACACTACTATAATAAC